GCCCTGGGACGCCGCGAGCGGTGGAGAGGGGCAGCCGCGGTGGGAGGGGGGTCGTTTTCAACAGGGGGCTCTCGCCTCCGTGCCGTGCGCGGTCGTGTGGAGCGCAGGCAGCTGCTGCTGGGACGGATGGGGGACGGGGGGATCGTTTTCAAGGTGGGGCTCTGGCCTTGGCGCCGGGCGCAGTCGTCCGAGCAGCCGGCAACAGGTCACAGGGAAGGGGGGGGGGTCAACTTCGAAACCGGGCCCTCGCTTTGGCGCCGCGTGACTTCTTCGTAAACGATTGCAGCAATTTGAAGGGTGGAGCACAGGTCGTTCTCTGACTAGGGCTCTCGCCTCAGCGCCGCGCACCGCTCGTCTCAAAAACTTGCATCAGTTTAGGAAGAAGCTTGTAGTTACTCGTGAGGTATGGACTTGGGGCAGCACGGTTACTTGCAGCATCTCTGGTACATCTTGGGTTCACTCTGGTCCTCCGACTCCTCCTTCTCCTCCTTCGTCCTCCGTCCTCTGTCATCCTTTTTGCAACCGGCGAACTTCAATCGACAGATCGCAGTGTTGTCTCTGTCCTCCTCCTCCTCCTCGTCCTCCTTCTCTTCCTCCTCCTCCTCCTCCTCCTCCTCCTCCTCCTCCTCCTTGGGGGAACCAAAAAGTACTGAGACCGCTACTCCTCGGACCTCTCCCGGGATATGGTCAGGCTAGACTTTCGAGGCGACCCCAGCCGTGGCGACGAGAACCTCCAGGGAGGCCCACCACGGCGACAATGAGGCAAAGATAGCAGCATCGGTACCTTTTCCTACTCCGACTAGAGAAAGAAAAAACTACATACACGTAAACATTTGGCGCTCCGCCCGGATTTCCTGGATTTGCGCTGGACCCCCCCCCTCCCTGGCGCGCGGAGCGCGCCAGTGGCGGTGCCGGAGGCGCCGCCGGGGGGGCCTCGGCGCGGATCCAAGAAATCCGCGCGGAGCGCCAACAGTTTATGTTTATCGCGCTTCTTATTCTTCGACTGTCTCCTCCTCCTCCTCGTCCTTCTCCACCTCCCTCTCCACCTCCTCCTCCTCCTCCTCCTCCTCCTCCTCCTCCTCCTCCTTCCTCTCGTCCTCCTTCTCCTCGCGCGCGGCACAGCCCGAGGCCCCCGCCAGGCCGGCGCCGGTTGACTGGCGACGGCCCCCGCGGCGGCCTCCTCCGCGGGCGGCGCCGCGCCGCCGTCCGCCGCGCCCATCGGGACGTCCTGGTTGGCGAAGAAGATGGCCACGGCTTGCTGGCGGCGGCCCCAGGTGTGGGTCCGCTCCTCCTCCTCCGCCTCCTCCTCCTCCTCCTGCTCCTCCTCCCCCTGTTCCTCCTCCTCCGCCTCCTCCTCCTCCGCCTCCTCCTCCTCCTCCTCCCCCATCTTCCCTCCTCCTGCTCCTGCTCCTCCTGCTCCTCCTCCTCCTCCTCCTCCTCCTCCTCCTGCTGCCCCCCATCCTCCCCCCATCCTCCCCTGGGTTGGCGAAGAAGATGGCCACGCACCCGAGGGAACAGCAGACGGCACAAACATGAGCTTTCGGAGGACCGTGCGGACCTGCCGGATCGGAGCCGGACCCCTCTGGCGCCGCCCCGTGGCGCGCTCCGCGCGCCAGGTACAGAGCGCCGATCCAGGACATCTGCGCGGACCTCCCAAGGTTTCGGCTTCTGCAATTTTGAGCTCTTGGGTCCCCCACCCTTGCTGCAGCGCGGAATCGGTGCCAGGTCCGTGGCACGCAAGCAAGCTAAGACACTACACAGGCGTAGCCAATGAACACGCGGGACGACGAGAGGTGTCAAGGCGGAGCAGCCCGAGGTGAATGACAAATAGTGGCATCACTTGAACGCAGGAGTAACCCAAGAGGCTTTACTCAACTCGTCGCCGTCAGCACCTCGGGGGAAAACATATGAGCATCTTTAGACTGGCGCTGATGGTCCGCCACCGCGCTTTGCCAGGGCCTGTGTGCGTGCGCGCGTGTGTGTGCGTGTGTGTGTTTGTTTGTTCGTTTGTTTGTTTGTTTGTTTGTTTGGTTGTGTGCGTGTGTCTGTGCGTCTGTGTGTGTGTGTGCGTGTGCGTGTGTGTGTGTGTGCTTATGTGTGTGTGTGTGTGTGTGTGTCTGTGCGTCTGTGTGTATGTGTGTGTGTGCCGTTCCCTCGTTTTTGCTCGACGCCGCTCCGTGAACGGCTCTCACTTGCACCTAACAAGCTGCACGGAGACCCACGCCCGCCCCCGACCCCGAGCCCCGAAGGCTCGCCTGCACTCCGAAAGAGACACGAAGCCACGAACCGGCCCGTCGGTGGGCGGCCCCCGATGGGCTCTCCGGGCTGATCCTCCGCTGGCCCCGTGACGGTCTAGCACGGGGAGAAGCCCACGGAAGCCTCCGAGGACGGCCGTGTCGGTGCTCCCTCGTTGCCTCTCCAGGGTCGTTCCCGAATTTTCCCTCGGACAGCAGCGTCGTTACGATCGGCTGCTTATGGTAAGGTAGGTGTGAGGTGGGAGGGGGAGGGAAGAGGGAAAGGGGGAGGTGGAGGAGAGCAACCGGGGTTTAGGACAAGGAGGAGCAGCAGGAGGAGGAGGAGGAGGAGGAAGAGGAGGAGGAGGGGGAGGGGGAGGAGAGGGGGAGGAGAAGGGGGAGGGAGGAGGAGGAGGAGGCGGAGGAGGAGAAGGAGGAGGAGCAGGATCAGGATCCGGAGGAGGATCAGAGGAGGAGGAGGCGAGGAGGCGGAGGAGGAGGAGGAGGAGGAAAGGAAAGGAAAAGGAAGAGGAGGAGGAGGAGAGGAGGAGGTTGAGGAGGAGGAGGAGGATGGTGATGAGGAGGAGGAGAAGTCAGGAGGAGGAAAAGGAGGAGGAGGAAGAAGAAGAGCATGATGATGAGGATGATGATGATGATGATGAGGAGGAGCAGGAGGAGGACAAGGAGGAGGAGGAAGAGGAGGAGGGGGAGGAGGAAGAGGATGTTGAGGAGAAGGAGGTGTAGAAGGAGCAGGAGGAGAAGGAGGAGGGGGAGGGAGAGGAGGAGGAGGAGGAGAAGGAGGAGGACAAGGAGGAACAACAGGAGGAGGAGGAGGAGGAGGAGGAGGAGGAGGTGGAGGAAGAGGAGGAGGAGGAGCAACAAGAGGAGTGTCTCTGATTACACGCTCCATGTCCACGGAGCCTGGCGCGCAGGCCGAGCGCGCCTCGGGCCATCACCGAGGCGCCGTGCCGTACCCGATGGCACGACGGAGAACTAGCCGAAGGGACCTCGGACCAACGCCGAAATACCGAGCTGAGCCAGTGCCCAGCGAGCTTGAAGAGGACGCCTGGGCCCACGCAGCCGCGAGCTTAGTCGTCGTCGATCCTCTTCAGGCTGTCCTTTGAGATTCTGGCGCTCAGTGTTAGAAAGATCGCCGAAATGACCCAGAGCCCCGTGGAAGCGAAAGATGAAGTTGAAGCATACTTCGGAGTCCTTCCTGCATGCGGTCGTCAGACTCCGAATCCAAAACTGTGGGCCCAGGGTCGGACTGCTCCTGATCAGCGCCGGCGCCCTCGACGTCAGCCTCCGCCTCGGCGGCGCCCGAGCCCCACAGGCCGGGGTCTACCCCTAGCTTCGGGAACGGCGGGGGACCAGGGAGGTCAAACCTGGGGTCGCTACCGACCGCTGGATCATCGAAGCAGCCGCCGCTACCGACGACCTGCGAATCAGCGTCCGAAAGACCATCAGGAGAAAAGGTCAGGCCCGCACCAGGACTGTCCTCCAAGATGTTCTTGTTCAACATGGTCCCCCCGTCGATGTCCGATTTCTTTGCGTCATCTTCGAGGGCCTGGCTTCCGCGCGCAGCCACCCTCCGCCAATGAACGAAGGTCTTGTCGATGCACTTGTGCTGGTACGTCTCGATCACGTCGCCGCTGCTCCCTATGGTGTAGCACTCGACCTGGCACGACTCGCCGATGCTAGGCCAACCCACGCCGAGATCTCTCGGTCCAGCTGGTTGAGCAGGTCCTCCACCTTCTTCTCCTCGCTTGACTGGTTCACCATCTTATCCTGCTGGTTCTTGATGCTCTGGTACTCCTTGTTGACCACCAGGTACGGGTCCCAGTCCGCTGGCGACTCCTCCTCGTTCTTCGTGGCATGCGTCTTCAGAACCTCCCTCAGGCTGGGGTCCGACGACACGGCCTGCTCGTTGCTCAAGCTGACCGGCTCCTTCTCCTCCTCCTTCAAGGTCTCCTTCTGCAGCTCCACTGTGGCCGCTGGCGGAGGCCTAGCGCACTCCTCGCAAGTGGTCCTGAACCCGAAGTTCTTGTATGCACACTTGTTGCACTTCCAGATCGGCACCCTGAAGCAGGAGTTTTTCCCCAGGTTGTGCGGCACCGGTGTCGACTTCGAAGGCAGAGAAGCCTTCCCGGCCATGACCTTCTTCCTGTTGGCGTCCCGCTGCTGCTCCTCCTGGAACTCGCGTCGGTACACCTCGGGCGTCTCCTGGTCCACGTGGGCAGGTACCCACGGCCTCCTCGCACCCCCAGAAGCCTCCCAGACCTCGACGATCAGGTCAGCCCCTGGATGCTGAAGCTCGAAGTCGCGGCTGATCGTGCCGAGCAGCTTCCCGACGAAGGGCTTGCCGAGAACTCTGTAGGGCAGCAGCAGCCTCATGCTACCATGGCAGCCGTTGCTCGGCGGGACTAAAGCCGCTGCGAAACGCGCTCCACCACGCCCCCCCTCGGGCCCCGCGGCGGCTAGCAACAAAAGGAGGAGGAGGAGGAGGAGGAGGAGGAGGAGGAGGAGGAGGAGGAGGAGGAGGAGGAGGAGGATGAGCAACAACAGGAGGAGGAGGAGGAGGAGGAGGAGGAATACTCAAAAACTGAAACTATAAAAAGGATGACGGCTTCTGCCAACAAAAACGCCTGCAACAGAATCGCCCAGGCGCGTGCCCACAAGGCAAAATGTTCGGCGCCTTGGCCAGCAAGAGGGGGGGACTACGTGTGAGCAGCTTCCTGCTGTCGGGTTCGCTCGGCGAAGGCATCCACTCGAGTCTCAAACGACGGCGGCGCCTCGTGAACACTCTCGGCGAGGGCAGCCGCGCAGGACTCGGACGATGACGGCGCCTCGGACTTGGGGGGTCAAGACTCGGGTGGTCTCGACCGCGGGCATCCTCGCCGAGCAGGGAGGGCATCATCAACCTGTCGAGCGAACCTCTTGTGTGGGCTCACTCCTTTACGCAAACCGGTGAAAACGTCAAGCCCCTTACGTACGGGTGGGGGGGCTCACGCTCTCTACGCACTCTTGTTGCGCCTGGACTGATGAGCCCAGGCGCCACACCTACTACGTCCATGCACTGGATTAGAACAGCTGGGATCAGCTGGGTTCCTACCCCCTGGTTCACAGCAGTCAGCGCGTACCGCGTGTACCCTAAAAAGGTTTCTTCACTAAAGCAGCTAGGTACGCAGGCATGCCTCTACATCCTGTTAGCGGCTTAGTGTGACCAGCACGCGCTATGCACAAACACTTACTTCACTATTATCCACACGGCGTGCCGTGCCACTAGTGCCATAATGCACGCTGCACATGTGCTCGGCGCTCAGACGGTCTTGGTCCACTGCTCCTCTCTCTCGAACAGCGGCAGGATGGCGACAGCCAACTTGACGAAGTGCTGTGACACACGCAACCCGTCATCACTCTGACAATCCAATTCGTGAAGTAGCGCCTCGTGCAGCTGGGCTCCCCGTTTTGCATGAACAGTTGCAGAGATTTTGGCATCCGTCAGGCGCTTCTCCACATCTGCCGAACGTGCATACTGTTCAGCAGTCTGATGCGCCTTGACATGTCGCACCGATCGCACATGGTGATGTCCAAGCACCCTCTGAGCGAACAGTTTCACGCAACTGTAATACGCACCTGCTCGAAGCTGCTCACTCGGACTCTTGGCAGCCCCCCGCGCTGCCGCCATGTAGTCTGCGAGTGCGTCAGCAGGTCGGTCCGCCACTTGGCCCACGAACGCCAGCGCCAGATGCTCGGCCATCGCAGACCGCTGCGGCACCGACCCAGGCACAGCGCCGATCATCACGCGAATCGGAGTGCTGCTCTGCGGATCGAGCAACACGACGGCCCAACCAGCACGGCGTGCGGCATCGAGCAGAGGCACGCTGCAGAATCCGTCGACGGCGAACTCGATCACCTGGACGCTGCCATCGAGATTACTACACATGTCCTCGATCGTACCTGCCGCAACGTGGCCTTCACTATCAAGCAAATGCACTTGGGCCCCACCATTCAGCGGCGCCAGCAGCTCCTCCTCGTAGGCGAAAGCCCCCGTGTTGTAGCGCAGGTCGCCATCATTGCCCAATCCCTCCTGGATGAACTCAGCACTCACTTCACTTTCAGCTTGAACTGCTATTGCATCAGCACGCGTGCATGAACACAGACGGTGGTGCACTGTGTCGAGCTGCCCGCAACTGCAGAGGCCGTCTGTGTCATAGCCTCGCTCTTGGGCTCGACTCCTGGTCCACAATCCCTGGCACGCACTCGTTCGAACAGGAAACTTCTGGTACTTGGAATACTTCGTAGAGCGTTCTCGCGCAACGCCCCGAATGAAGTCGTATGTCAAGCGATCTCCAGCTGGCAACTCCTGCTTATCAGCTAGCTTGCACTCGAGCATCCTCTGCATAGCTTGTGCCAACTGGCCCTCGAGCAACGCAAGGCTGAACAGGTCCACACGAATGTCTTGATCACGGTGATCACGCCACAGAGTGCCGCTAACCACAGTCCAGCCTACACGTTCAAGGCGGAGGAGGATGATGATGATGCTGATGATGATCATGATGATGAGGAGGAGGAGGAAGAGGAGGAGGAGGAGGAGGAGCAGCAGATGAGGATGATGATGCTGATGATGATGAGGAGGAGGAGGAGCAGCAGGAGGAGCAGGAGGAGCAGGAGGATCAGGAGGAGCAGGATCAAGATGAGGAGGAGGAGGACGAGGAGGAGGAGCCGTAGGAGGAGCAGGAGGAGGAGGAGGAGGAGCAGGAGGAGGAGGAGGAGGAGGAGGAGGAGTAGGATGAGGAGGAGGCGGAGGAGGAGGAGAAGGAGGAGGAAGGAGGAGGCGGAGAAGGAGGCGGAAGAGGAGGGAGGCAAGAGGACAATTATTAAGATAGTGATGATGAGGAGGAGGAGGAGCATCATCAGGAGGAGGAGGAAGAGCTGATCCTCCGTGGGAGAGGAGCAGCAAAGTGTTGGCTACCGAAAGTGGGGCCTGGTTGCAGGGGCGACAATCAGCATGTGGACAGCGTGGAGCCGAGGGCCCGACAGTGCGGGCCAGGGGGGGAGGAGCCTCTTCGATTGAGCTCGACCTGCGCTGGTTGATGACCGCCTCGGAGCACCCCCTGGCTCAAGCCCTGGGCGGGGTTGTGCCATCTTCTCTCTCTGTCCGAGGCGGGGAACGCTCCCAGTCGCACACCTAAGATGAATTAGACCCCCGATGGCGTGCCGCCGCCGTGGTGGCACTGAGATCAGCGCCGCGTGATGTGGCACGTGCTGCAGAGGTACCAGTTGCACTCGCGGCACTGCATGACCATCTCGTTGTCCTGAACCTTCCTCGCGCAGCAGTCGCACTTGCCAGCCCGCGCCATCTCGGCCTCGAGGTCGTGTCCCTCGGGGCAGTGCCTGACGGGGCGGCACGACCTGCACAAGTACCAGTTGCAGGCCTCGCAACTCATGACTGGCTCCTTGTCCTTGACGAGCCTACCGCAGCCATCGCAGCTACCCGCCTTGGCCCCCAACGGCTGCATGGTGTGCCCCGCGCTGCACCGCGGGAGCACCCGCGGTACTGCCGGCACGCGGAATTGGGCCGTGGCCTTGCTCGTCGGGCGGCAGGCCTCGCAGAGGAACCAGTTGCAGCGCCGGCAGTCCATGATCATGCTGCCCTTCGGCACGCCCTTGGAGCAGGAGTCGCAAGCTCCCGGGGACTGGGAAGCCCACTTCTGCAGCCTGTGGCCCATGGGGCACTGGGTCACCGGGTGGCACACTCGGCACAAAAACCAGTTGCACTCCCGGCAATCCATCACAACCTCGCCGGCCTTCAGAGCCCTGCTGCAGCCGTCGCACCTGCCAGCGATGGCCGCGGCGGTCCGCAACTTGTGGCCCCTCTTGCAGTGCGCGATGGGCCGGCAGCTCTGGCACACGTAGTAGTTGCACGCCCCGCACTCGAAGACGAGCTGCCCCTGGTCTGAGGCGTCCAAGAGGGGGGCGTCCAAGAGGGGGGGCCGCAGATCATGGCCCGAGGCATGTGCGCGGACCGGGGGGCGGCATGGGGACGTACTGAAATAAGATGAGGGGCAACGAACTCTGGGGAGCATCGTTGCCACTGTGGCTCGTGATTGCATATGATTTGCATGAGTTGCTGCAGGTGTGTAGGTATGCATGAATTTATCACACTTGAGCCGATCATCGTTGCCACTGCAGCTCGTGATTGCACATGGTTTGCACGACAGGTATGCACGAACGAGTCATCGCGTGAATGTGCTGCGAACCGTAGCCACCGAGGCTCGAGTCTAGAAGTCGCACGACACGTCCTAGAGCCAGGCGGAAGCCTTGCGCAACCACAGCTTGAGAGCTCTTTGGTATCATCGGGACGCCCCCGACCTGGTGCACCATGCCCCCGCACGCGTCGCAGCTGCCGGGCCGCCCCACCAAGCAGACGAGCCCGTGGCCCGCCGGGCACTGCACAGCTGGCGCGGCGGGGTGCGCCGCCGCGCCGCCCGCCTCCGCAGCCGCCTCGTCCGTCGGGGAACAAATGATGGCATAAACATGAGCCTTCGACGGTCCGCGCGGATTTCTTGGATCGGCGCTGGGGCCCCCTCGATGAGCAATACAAGTTCCCCATCACCCTTTGCGAGGGGGCCTAAGTTAGGAGGGCCAGAATCATAGTTTTTTTTTTCCTCCGAAGAACCAGACCGCCCAGGTCTATCCCTCATGCAAAGACGGGGACCTCAGTGAGGCCACGTCTCCAGTATGTTATCAGGGTCAGGCTTTTGTTTGTTTGAAAATCCTCGACGACCCCTGGCGGCGCTTCAAGCGCCGCCCCCAGCGCGCTCCGCGCGCCAGGGGTGGGGGGGGCGCCCAGCGCCGACTCGAGAAACCAGCGCGGACCTCCGACGGTTTCTGCTTAGGTACCTCTTTTGTTCCTCGTGTCCAGCCGCTCCAGCAGGTTCGTGGCCACAGCCTCTTGCACGGAGGCGGGCTGCTCGGCGGCGACCGCCGCTGCCATGGGCCGGCCGCCCGCCGACGCACGGCTGCTGCGCCTCAGACGCCCGCCGCGGCTGAGCTCCGAACCGCCCCCCGCCCGAGCCAAAATGGCTGCGGAAGAGGCGCATCTTAGCCTGCATGGGGGCCACATGCGAATCATACCCCACCACCTCACGATTTCTCAGAGGGGAGGTGGGATTCAGTTCGTTCGGGGCCTCCCGAACGAAGTGGGCCACGCTTCCCCCCTCAGAAATCGTGGGGTTGTGGGCGATGTGCGATCCGCATCGCGATGCATCAAACAAGGATACCGATCGGCCCACCTTTCGGGTGATAGCGAGGCCAGTGAGGACAGTGCCGAGAGCGTGCAGGTGAATCACGAACACGCCTCGAAAAAAAGAACGAGAGAGGGCCCTCATCCAACAAGGGGCGCTCTCCGCGCCGTGCGCGGGGCAGGGGAGCAACGGTGCGAGGGTCACTAACGGCGCAACGCCGGGCAGTCCCCACTCGCACCGCGCCCCCCGCCCGCACCCGCCCACTATTCAGGTGCCTCGGGCTCGGGCGCCTGCTGAGCATCGCAGGCACCCCGAGCTCCGAGAAAACAAGCGGCTCGAGGGGCTCGCCCGCCTTGGGATGCAGGCCCCTTCGAGCCAGCTCGAGCATCGACGCGATGGAGGCCAAGACAGCCCGCTGCACTTAAGGGGCCCTTAAGTGCAGCGGATCTGCTCCTTCCGTGCGCGGGGCTGGGGAGCAACGGTGCGAGGGTCACTAACGGCGCAACGCCGGGCAGTCCCCACTCGCACCGCGCCCCCCGCCAGCACTTCCGCCCACTAGTCAGGTGCCTCGGGCTCGGGCGCCTGCTGCGGCATCGCAGGCACCCCGAGCTCCGAGAAGACGAGCGGCTCGAGGGGCTCGCCCGTCTTGGGATGCAGGCCCCTTCGAGCCAGCTCGAGCATCGACGCGATAGCTCCGTCCCCCCCACTCCCAGCTCCCGCCGACCCCGTCCCAGCCCTCTTGCACGCTCGAGACAGGCCGACCGACAGCCGATTGGGGCGCACAGCGTGCGCCCCGCACTTAACACAGATCAAAACTCGATCCAAGGCCTGGACCTGGTGTCCTGGCCCGACCTCCTGGGGGTCGCATGCACGGGAGGCCAGAGACTTCAACGACGAGGCCGTCGCTGCAAGCCTCCAGCAGGCTCGACATCGAATAGCTCCCCCAGCGAAGACCACAAAGTCGTGATCGGTCGGCCGCCGCGGACGGCGGGGCCGAAAGACAGCCTTCGGAGGCGCACGGAGTATCGGGGTGGAGAGGCGGGCCACGCGCTCGGCAGCCCAGGCCAGACAACGCATCGTGTCCTGGGCCCGAAGCAGAGAAAATTTGTGAGCCTTGACCACGGAGGTGGATCCAAGGAAATCAGCCGCTGCCACGCGGGCGAAAACATCAGCCCACATATTACCGAAAAAATGCTCCAGGGGCTCCTGGGAGGCCAGGCAGGCCTCAAACCCCTCGAGGACGGTCCGATGGGCCTTCGTCCAAACAAACACGGGCCTGACAGGGTCGCCTCTATACAGCTCGTGGATGCTCCGCCAGATGGACGCGTGAGGCGCTCTGGCAGAAGCATGACGACCCTCCCAGGCCATTCCCTCGACCTGCAGCTGTAAATGATCAGTCACGTACGTGGCTGGCCTCTGGGCCCTCTGCAGGGCCTTGAGACCAGCAACGCGCTCGGCCCTGGGCACCGTCTGGATAGGGCCCCCCAGGCTCCCGAACAAAGCTTTGCATGGCCACAGGTCTCGGGTCAATGCTACGACGGCCCAGCCACAGCGCCGTTCCTCAGGGAAATCACTTTCAAGACAGGACCCGTCCCCGTACAACTTCGACGGCCACGGCATGTCGATCGCCCCCCACTCGCGCTCAGCCTGAGCACGTGCAGGCAGCGGCCTGAAAGCAGGCCTCAGGGGCAGCGCGTAGAGCACGTCGACGGCCGAGAAGTCCTGCACCTGGCCCCCGTCGCGCCACGGGGCTGCCTCCAGGATGTCCTTCCTCCTCTTGGCCACCTCCTCGGGGTACGGCTCCGTCTCCTCGTCCTCCTGCTGCTGATGCAATACCGTGCAGCCGAAGATCTCATGCTCGAGGTCGCAGCAGGCCTCCCCGCAGAACTCGCACGAACCGTCGCCGCCGTAGCCAGCCTGCATGCGGCGCTGCGGCGACCAGAACCCGTTGGACTGCAGCTTGGCCAGAGCCCCTCTGTGGCCAGGCGCCAAGGAGGCGTGTCCCAGTCGAAGCGCACGAAGCCACACATGCTGCTGCCGCCTGCCGTCACCATCGGCTGGGGGCGCCTCAGGCAGCTGGTCGAGGATACGATGGCTCTGCCAACGGTCGAGGCTGCGACGCAGGAAAAACAGCACCTCACTGGGACAATACTGCAGCAAACTGATATGCAGGCCCTCATCGTCAACCAAGATTGTAGAACTTGCCATGTTCCAGTTGACTCTCCTGAGGGACAACCACAGGGCCGAAAGCGGGCCCTGCGCACTGGCCCACGTGACGTGAGTGTGGCGGGCTTCCCAGGAGTCACGCAAGCCCATCCAGGCCCGCTGCAGTCGGGAGAGCGTCACACGCCCATCCCACACCCACGCCGCGTACTGCCCCACGATGCTGAAGGTAGCGTGGAATATGGGGTCGAAGCTCCACTGCTGCGCGGCCAGGTACAGCGTCAGGGAGCCCGACCCTTTGTAGCCACAGAAGACGCCAGCCATGGTCCTCATCTGCTGCAGCTCCGTGTCGCTGATGCCGCTGACCGTGGCTCCGTGCCCCACGGATGGCAGCACACCCGTGGCCCAGAGCCGAGCCGCCCGCTGTCGTCCTGCTCCCTTCTGCAGTGCTCGAACGCTGGCCTTCTTTCCGTGCATGGCCTTCAGGCGTCCCTTCTGCACGGCCCTTGTGGCCGACGACCCAGCTAGGTCGTGGCCAAGATACCGCATGTGCCTCTTGCCAGCGATCTTCAGCAGCCTGGCGTACTTCTGAAAGTGGTAGCTGGTGCGCCTGGACGTCGTAAGGTGCCCAGACTTATCCATCTGCAGCACCAGCCCGAGGGGCCGGACAGCCCTGCAGAAAGCACGAGTGGCAATGGCCATTTCTCGCACCCCGCTCGGGTCGTTGCCGACCCAGCACAGCGCGACGTCGTCCACCAAGTCCTTGGGCTGAACCTGAGGAGCGACCGACATCGTCTGGCGAATGCTGCGAGTCAACAACACCATGAGAAGCGTAGTGGCGTGGGTGCAGCCTGCCAGGATGCCCTGATACGCCCTGCGCGCCACTGAATACGAAGAATACGAGTGCACCGAGCGCAGCTGCTGGTACATCTGCACAAGCATGAACGCCATTCGCATAGGGTATCCACTGGCCCTGCACTCCAACAAAATGGCATCATGCCTGACCAGCTCGTAGCATTTGAGCATGTCCAGCAGCACAATGATGGCGTCGTCATCGCACAGGGTCGCCATCTCCTTGGTGAGCGCCAAATCAAAGGCCGCATCACTCGACGACTTGCCTCCAGTGTGGCCCCAGACCTCTGGTAGCGCATGGGCCTTCTCCCACGCTGCCGAGACAGGCCGCCTCGCCCGTCCCCAGATCCTGACCAGCGTGTTCATCAGCACAATCAGGCGCTCCCCACCCCCTGGCTTGGGGAGTCTCACGAGCTTCGAGAGGAATCTGCCGTCTGGCCACAGCAGGAGGTGCTCGCACCGCTCGAAGAGGCGCGCCATAGCCGTCAGCGCCCCGTGGGAGAGGTGCTCCATGGCCCTGGGCGCGATGTTGATCTGCCCGACGCCTGTCTGCCAAGAGAAACAACGGATTGCCTTGAGTACGTCGGCCGCCTCAAGCCTTGGCAGCTGCTCCCAAGTGTCAGCATCAACAGGTCGGCGAGCCAGCTCACCGCCATGCCGCACCCAGAAGCTTTCCCAATACTCAAGCTTACGATCAGCCAGTACGTACCCATGTTGTAGCCCATTGCCTCCGTCCACGATCTCCTGGAGAGCCTTGGGCTTCATGAATCGGTGAGCTCCCTTGGCTCCAGCCGCAAAAGCTGCCTGCGCCCACTGCCTCCAGCTCTGCATCACGGCCTTCTCATGCTTGGCCTCAGCATCGGAGGAGATACTCAGGATGCGGTCGACCTGCTGCTCGAAGTCTGCCTGCGCTAAGGCAAGTATGCCACGCGAGAAGAAGCCGACGGCTTCGGCGTCCAGGTGCGGCCAGACTCCCTTCCTCCGCCAGATTCTCTGGAAGAAATTCTCGCACTCCAGCAGGTGGCGCGCCGCCTTGGAGTGCACGGCGTCCCACGATAGGTCCTCGCCTGCCCGTCGCGGGGGCTGGTGTCGCTGAGCTCTCGACCGAGGCCGACCACCATCGGAGGAGAGACCAGCCACTCCGACGACCTCCGCAGCAGGGGGTGCCCCATCGCCCAGGCCAGGCACACCGTCGACGTGCGCCTCGCCGACGCTGCCGAGCTCGAAGACCTGCTGCGGGCGTAGCTGGAGCACGAAGCTCTGCAAGGCCACTCGAACCCTCCTGAGGTGACGAGCCCAGCGCGCAGCCTGCGCCCAGGCCTGGGTGTCCGCCGACCTCCTGCTCCAGGCACCTTTCACGACAGGGTGAAAACTCGCCAGCTCGAAGGTCGGGGGGCCTGGCACCGTGGAGTACCCCGCCACGTCCTTCACGACGTCGTAGCGGCCCCGCAGCTCGAACTCGATGCCGCTGAGCACGACGTCCCAGGCCCTGGTGATGCCCTCGCTGTGCGACGCGCTCTGGATGATCGCCAAGGTCGGGTCCCAGTCGGGGGGGAACCTCGCGCACCCCGCCGCAGGCGGCCTCCGAAAGCCGCGTGGCTCGACAAGCCTCCTGACCTTCGCGTCAAAAGCCGTGGCGGAGAGCTCCATGGTCACTGGTAGATGCGGCCACGTCTCCGCGTCGACGACCACTGGTTGCCGAACGCGAGGCAGCAAACGGCAAGAAACCATGAACATGTCAATGGTGCGGCCAGGAAGGCTCTGAAGACAAGTCGGCTCTCTCGGCGCCAGCACCACGCCATTGGCCGACTGGAGCCAGGACAACGGGCCGAGCTCGCCTACCTCCATGTTGAAGTCGCCTCCTACGATCCACGGAACACCCATGGCCTCCAGCGACCTGACATACTGGTACAGCTTGTACAGCATGGCCAGGTTCTCGGGCGACAGCTTGACGTCCACAATGAAATAGCACGACAGCATGACGAAGCCGCCCTTCACCCCAGCGTGGACGTGGGCCGCCATCATCCTGCCTTCCTGCAGCACGTGACTGTCCAGGCCTGGGGGTTTGGTGATGACCACCCGCAGCGGGGCCAGCACCGCAACCCCGCCTCTGCTGCCAACTCCCTGCCCAGGTAGGGCGGGCTCCCATATACCATGGTACCCAGCAGCTCTTACTTTATTCTGCAACTTCGCCAAAGCATCGCCCTCGGCCTTGGCATGATGTTCCTGCACCGCGATGCATAAACTCGAGCACGTGGGCAGGAAGTCGACGAGCGGGCCGCCCGAGGACACGTTCACGGTGGTGATACTTGAAACCGACGCCATGGTGCGACAAAGGAGGACGAACCACACAAGACACGCAAAACATCGCCGTGGAGCCATGCTAGGCAGGGGTGAGCCTGGGCCTCTTGACCTTGGCACCCCAACGCATGAAGATCTCCTCCAGCCTGTGCTTCTCGCCCCCAGCCGCAACGACTTCCTCCATGAACTCAGGGTCGTCGGAGAAGGCAGATGGCTGTGGTGTGCGAGGCGCTGCCGCGTCGTCCTGCCGCTCGGCCTGCTCGACGTCGGGACCAGCCTCGGCCCCAGCATCCGCCTGCGCCTTCTGGGCAGCCAACTTTGCCGCCTCCTCCTCCTGCAACCTCTGCAGCTCCTGGAAGCTCGCCGTGAGGCTGCCCGACAGCTGGTGATCGGCGCCCAGGCTCTGGAGCAAGATCCCGAGGCCCTCGAGCGTGGCACCAACCCCCTTGATCGGCTCGTCGAGCGACGCCTTGTCGCCAGGCGTCGGAACCTGCCCTTGAAGCCTCTTGCGCTCCTGGTCCAGCTCCTCCATGCTAGCGTCGAGGGCCGCCAGCTTGTCCCGAGTGAGCCGTTCCTTCTCCTGCAGGTCGCGCAACTGCGCCTGCAGCCCATCGAGCTTGGTCTGCTGGTCGTCGCGCAGCTTCTGCAGCCTGGTGAACTGAGTTCCCATCTCGCGCAAGCGCTGTCCGAGCGGTCGGGACTCCGCCACCCTAGCCCGCAGCTCGGCCTGCTCGGCCAGCAGCTTGTCGCGCGTGGCCACGACCGACGGCTCGGTGATGCCCTTGAGCTTGCCGATGAGGTCGCCGACCTCGCGTAGCCTGTCCTTGGCGACGGACTCGGGGCCGTCTCCGTCCGCGGCCGGCTCCATCTGCACGTCCTCCCCGCCAGGCGGCGGCCTCTGCACAGCGGCAAGCCGCTTGCGGGCCTCGGCGAGCTCGGACTTGAGCTTGGCCACCTTGACGGAGTCGTCCCAGTAGCCGTTGCCGCTGCCGCCCTGATTGCCCTTCTTCCGCTGGGAGGGGGCCGCGGGCTGGCGCACGCTGTGGAAGACCAGTCCCTTGCCCAGCTTGCACTTCGCACACTGCCGCGCCTCTGCATGATTCCACCACGGTCTCCCCGAGGGCCCGCAGCAGCTCTTGCAGTACCAAGGAAGCGCCTGCTCCGAACGGTAATGCGGCGGTGGCATCTCCACGACACCAGGCAGCAGCACACACGGTGGGCCGTGGCAGCGCGATCTGGAAAGGACTGGGTGTGGGCGCCCAACTCCCACGGTGAAGGCGAACGGTGGTCTGGCCGCGGACTAGCGGTATCCGTGCGGTCCCCAGGGGAACCAATCATCTTGAGCCAAAATGGCTACGGAAGGGTGATAGCGAGGCTCGGGGGGGGAAGGGGGAGGCGGTCGATTTGCAATGACCCCCGCCTACCGCCAACAATGAATGCACGAAACATGATGGATACCACCTATTCCCGCTTCCTTCAAGCGGTTCATATCTCTCTCTATCTCTTTCTATATATGTATATACCGCGGGGATGGTTGGCGCAATGACGTGGTATTTATGTTTTCGCACACTACTTGGTGGCGGCAGGCGCCGCAGATCGCATTGATTTGCTTCTACCCTCGCTGTTGCGCAAGTGGCGGTAACAGGTCTCTTTTATTTGCTTGCCCCGTACTGTATAGCAGCAAGCGGAAGTGGATGATATTTGCTTCCTTGTTGCAAAGCAAAATATGTGGCAACTCGTTGCCCGCCCGCTGTTTTACTTTCTGTTGTTTCGTTTTTGGCTGCCGCTTGGCTGCGCGCGCATGCCTATCTACCCAGCGGCCCATCTATGTATATGTGTACATATATTGCCATGTATGTAGCTACCCACTTATCTATATTCATCCATCCCCAAGACGAAAGTTTTTTCCTCTTGGGCCCGGAACGTCGGTGTGAAGTCTTGAGCAGACCCGCGTGAGATAACCGCCGTCGGATCTCATGAAGCTTGCGCGGATCCAAATGTGGCTTTGGTGTCTGTTTCGGTGGATCCGATTTCCGTCCGTACGGATCCGATTTCGGATTCGCTGGATCCGTGTCCTGTCTTATTTTTTACGGCGGATCCGATTTCTACCCTGTTTTAAATTTATATTATTAAATCAAAACAGGGAACCGGAAGAAATCGGATCCGCGGACCCCGCAAACCGCCCGTGTTAAGATTCTACGGGGGATGGGGGGTTCGGTAATTAACTTTCCACGATGGGCACTGCGTCGTCTCGCGCGCTCCCATCAGCTCCCCGCGCGAGCGGGTGCCGTTCAAAATGAATACATACATCCCTCTCACCCCGGCTGCTGCAAACAACTCGTCTGGTCGCCGTCCGTTCCGGCGCCGACGTTGTCTCGCGAACTCCCCATGGCAATTTTCACCTCAAGAGGAAAATCTTTCGTCCTGCGTAAGTCTTTCTATATTTTTACAAGCCCGGGGGGGGGACAAAACCCTGCCCCCCCCAAAACTGGACCCCCGGGGTCTGGGGTTCTCGGGCTCCATTGGACGTCCTTGGGAAAGGTCACCCGGCTTTCCGGGTCTCCACAAACGCCTTGCCAGCAGACCCAGAGCGATCCGAGGGGTCATCAGAAAGGCTCAAGGGAGGCCCCAGACAGCACAAGAGCGCTCCAAGAGGGACTCCAATTGCGTCAGGACGGCCCAAAAGACCCCCAAGGCACC